TCACTGATCAATCACTGATCAATCTGTCCACGTGTACACAGGCAGATGAAAACACGTCCAGGAGAAGTACTAATTGACTGTCTGGACTCCATAGAAGACACGAAGGGAAACAACGGAGATCGAGGTAGTGAAGTTGGATATGTTGGAGGTTAAAACTCTGATTACAGGTAATGTCTGATTTTATCTTAACTACTTTATTTACTTTATTTGCAGGCCGGCTGTTGGTAACAAACCTGAGAATCATTTGGCATTCTTTGGCTCTACCCAGAGTCAATTTATGTGAGTACACCTGTATGATTATGTATTTATTTTAAAGTCTCCATCAGCTGAATGTTTCTGCCCTCTCTTGGAAATACATGGCATTAAACCAGTGGTATTATATGGACACCTTTAAAGGTTTTAAACAGTTTTTATTGTGCGTTTAATGACTTCCATGGCACCCTCCATTTAATTTTACGTCGTGCTTAAACCTAAACTATATCTAAAGATTTTGTGCCACCAATTTCTGAACAATCCAACAGAGAATAGGCTTATGGTTAAATGAAGCTCATGTCTTCATTTTGTATGCTGCCTGTTCAGTCATGTGTGTATATATTATATATGTTTATACAAGTAATATTGAGAGTTTTAAGATAATAATAAAAAAAAGAAATCTACTGAGGAACTAAATAAGAAAGTAACCATTTATCAGATCTGAGTGTGGTTTGTGTCTTAAGTTGCTCACATTTGCAATAACGTGAACAAAGTATGGAGTCGTGATTTTACACTTGACTGAGGAAGCCTAAATGGAAATCTGTTATTTATTTCAGCTGTGGGTTACAACTCCATCATTAACATCACAACAAGGACAGCTAACTCAGTAAGTAAATACAAATACATTAAATTGGTATAATCCTCCATCATGTTATCTATAATTTTGGTTCCGTATCATATGTAATGATGTATCTGGTGTTAAAAGTGAAGAGGGAATATATTTGTAGTGATCTCGAAGAGGCAGGGATGGTTCAGTGAGTTTCTGTTATTAATTTTTAAGTTTCGTGTCGTTCTTATTCATCTTACTCTTAACATTTAAATTTGAGGGCTTTGGTGGTTCTAGATTTTATTTTTGTTGATTGTATTTATTATTTATGTATATTATGTATTATTTTAAGTTTTTGTGTTTTCTTCTTTGATTTTAGTGGTATTATATTTTATTCTTTGTCGTTTTTTGTTGTTTATCTTATCTGTATCTTATTTTATGTGGGTTATAACATCAATCATCGTAACACGATGTTTGTGAAAATTTTGAATAGGAAGGATAGGCTTATGTTAAATGGAAAGTGATGCCTTATTTTTGGTAATGTGTGCTGTCGTACTTCTGCTGTGTACTTATAATTAATAATCACTGTTTCTGTTTTAGTAATAGTATACTGAGAGTTTTTCGATTTGATTATGGGGCTATACGAGTAAATTGTCATGAATCTGAAGTTGTTTGTGTTTAATTTGTATTTGCAAGGTCGTGACGAATACTCCGTCTTCTTGCGTTTTCTCTGTGGCGCCGCTCACTGCTGTTTCTTCTTTTTTTCTCGCTTCTTCAAGGAAAGCTTACATAGTAAAGTAAATAAAATGGTTTTTGATTACTAGTTATTAAGCGTATTTTGTTCAATAAATTTTATATAAATAACGCAGG